AAAATGCCCTCTAATTTCTAAGTAGTTTCTGAGTCAAGATAGCCGCTCGCATTTTAAATTACCCTGTGCCGTTAAAAAAAGTTCCAGCTTCAAACAAATTTAACCGTATTGCCCATCTACAGGCCACTGTGCTCAGCAGGTGAGCTATTTCTTTTACACATTTCATACAAATTTTATTTTTGAAGTGTTGTTAATGCGCTCATACACGTGAATTTTTTTATTCCTCAAAGTTTTCTCATTCTACGTTCCAAAATCTCAATAGTCAGTGAAATAATGATTAAAGTGGATTTCTTAAATCTATGTAGATTTTTATGTGTGTGCGAATGTACACATCCATATAAAAGTTCTCCGAAAATAAAATTCGTCATTGGGCATATTTCCGTTACAATTTCGCTTGAAAAAAAGCAAAGTTAATGGCGCGTAACACGATAAGCGGAGAGAATTAAGTTCGAAAGAAGGTAATGAATCACAAAAGGACGCAGCAGTAATATTAGTAACAAGTACATATATTTATTTGTATTACATTGTACAAAGATAGATACAAAGATAGATTTCTACTTATAAAATCGTTATTGCTAGATTTCAATTTTACTGGTGCAGAAGATTAAAATAAAACCATTTATGATGACTAAAAAATATTGAAAAGTAATATTTTAGTAATCAAAATGAAATACATATTTTCAAAAAACAATATCTTCACTTTGTTACAGTAGAATAGCATACATACATATGTATCTACAAATATAACCTACATATATATACAAATCTATGTATTGTATGTAAAGCTTGTGCTTATCATTACTAAGCGCACTAACTGATAAGATAACTTGCATATGCCTACACATTTATCAATTATAAGATATCGGAGCATTTGTTACTCAATTCACAGGTGTATGAATGTGTAAGTGTGCCAGAGCAGCAGGTGAATTTTGGCTCAGAATCGAGGTACGACAACGCCCCAACTTCAGTCTGAATTTTTCGTGGAGTCGTATTGTACGTGTTTTTCGGAAAGGTGCGCAAAAAAGAATTAACCAGTGAAGAAGAAGTGATAGACAAAAATTTTGTGATTGTGACAGTGTTGTGGTTTCATATACATGCATACATATATACCTGATAAGCCACAACCGCGACTGATAAGGCCACATTAAGGCAGATATTTTAGAGTAACAATTTCAATTGGTGGCGCATTCAGGCAGTGATGATCTCATTATGTAGTGAATAAGTGAAAACTTAGTAGGGAAATTCATCTAAACACGTGAATGCCTCGTAAGCATGCAAACCTCGTAAATTTGCTTAATTTTATATAGAAAATCGGTTTATTTACGAGGTTTACGCGACTACAAGGCACCCATAGTAATTTTTTCCTTTACATTTTTACCAGTGAAAAACACATAAAAACGGCTGCACCCAACGAAAGTGCCATTTAACGAAAATATTTATTTTACTTTTAACGAACAAAAACTTAACGAATATATTTTTTAGAAGAAAAAAAGAAGCACACATAATTATACATAAAAATGCGTTTTAAAATCGTGCTAGCCTTAACGCTAGCCTTTACCCTAGCTGGCTTAGTCATAGCGAACGAGAATTACTCATCGGAACTCGAAAATGATACTCAAGCTATTGATACGAAATTAAAACTGTCTAAGGATGCGGAACTTGTTGAAATGATACCGGAAATAGTGCAAGAACAAGCGAAACCCACACTGAAACCGGTGACGACAACGGTTGCGCCAACAACAACTAAAGCAACAACGCCAAAACCTATACCAAACGTGGCGATAGAGCCACGCATGCGTAATGGTGTTACTCCCAAAAATATGACTCACAATTTCTTGCAAAGAACAGGAGCATTGAAAGCAAGCCAAGACTTCTATCTTGGCGAGTTGGGTTTCGATGTGGACACAGACAACGGATACGATTGGTGTAAGTTGATATAAAAATATTTTATTTAATTTTGAAAACAATTTAAAAAGCCAAATCACTAAAGTATATCCCAAGCGTAAAGACTTGTGTAGATATACAGTGACTCAAAAAAATGACCACGTGTTGTTTTTCTTTTTTAAATATTTGTCAATTTTTTTTTTTATAAATATAACGTTCAAGTTTTACCCTAAAACATATAAATTACAGTTTGAAATTTTATACAAAATTGAGGAGAATTCAAAAAAATTCCATCAAAATTTCAACTTTTTATTCTGAATCATTGAGCATTTTTTTTTGCAGGTTACTTTTCCTTGTTTTTTTTTTTTAATATAACAAGTGCAATTTACAAAAACTGGCGTTGATATTTTGAAATTTTGTTGCTAACGGTCTCACGCATTTTATTTCATAAGAAAATCATGCTTAGATGGAGAAAAGTGCCAAAATCCGTCACCAAAAAAAAAAAATCTAAAAAATCAACGCAATTTTTTTAAACGTTTGAAAATTGCACCAACAAATGTAGGGGATATAAAATTGCGTACTTAAAAATTTTTAATTCACTGTAAATACTTACGTAGCAAAGTATAAAAAAATGTTTTTGCAAAAAGTGTAAATTTTATTGCGGATTCTGGTAGAATACCCATCCAGTAACGCGATAAACCCATAGAAATGGACGTGTCAGTTTGAGCTCTAAGTTAACAAAATGAAGATTTTATTGTCGGTAGACAGAATAGCCTTTCCTTAACAACATTTGTTCAGTAACATTTTGTTTTTAAATCGAGGCGTGTAAATATAGTATTTGAAGAACTGTGACATTGTTTTAGCTTAAATATTGCCGAAGATATGATACGTGGACTGTACACATTTTTGAGCAGTGCCTGAAATTCTTCTGTGTAAGTATTCTTGGCGGTGAGGGTTTTTGAGGCTCACACCCTGAATAATTTGATGTATAAAGCATTTTACAATAAAAGCATTTTTAGTTGTCGGCATGGTCTAACGAAAGTGCTCTAAAACTACATTATTTTTCTATGGAGATTTTTTTTTTGCTCCATACTACCCATAGTCTCGTGGAATAAAAATGGTAAACTTGCTAAATGCTTGTCACCAGGGTGACAATCCATTTAAACGAACCAACCAATCCACAGTGTTTGTCACACTTGCTTGGGCCATGCGGTTTTTAAAGTCGGGTTTCAAAATATTTTCAAAACGCATATCTAATCCAAAATTGGCTGCGTTTTAGAGGACGGCAAACCTATATCTGAACGATAGTCCAACTTAATATTATATCTTAAATAGATTCATGATTTACGTAGGTTGTGATTAAAAAGTTCCTAAATACAAGATCCTTTATTTGCAAAAGACATCTGACTTTGAAAAAATTTCTTCGAGGTCTGTCCATATAAATTCTTTTATCTGAGAACATTAAGTTATATAAAATAAGTAAAAATACCCGTATTATAGCAGCAGGATCGCCCTTTAAAATTAGCCTGCTTTAGAATATGTACGACAATTTAAACAAAAGTAAAAAAAATAAAACTTGGTAGATAAATGTACACGTAAAAAAACTTTCTGCGTTTCTCAGACAAATGAAATTTCAAATTCCAATGCGTGAACTATATCTTCCATTTATGACCCCCAAATTCATCAGTGATGAATCAGCGCTTACTCACCGCTAACTGTAATAGAGCCTATGTATGCATGCATTACAGTGACGCTTACGATTTTTAGTACGGCATTGGATACTTTATTTTTATAAGTCTGTGACAAGTAACACACTTTCGTATACACTTTCGAATGTTTCTATGTATTTACACGTGTATTAACTTTAACTATGTTATGTATGCATACGCACATACATACAAATGTGCTTGCTAACTTAGTATTTATTCGTATCTTATCGTTATCATTCTTGTGTTAGCAATATTTACACACAACCATATAAGTACTTTTTTTTTACACAACAACCTGTTCGACGAAACCTATTGCACCATCTCTCTTAATNGCACTAATATTATTGATGATCAGTGCTTGGGTATCGTTGCAATGCAATTTTTTCTTGGTGTTTTCTAATTATATATAAATTCAAAATAATATAATATTTTAATTAACTGACTTGAATTTATTAAATTTTTTTTTGGAGAGACAGCTATACATATTTAACATATGTAGTTTCTTTGATACCCACATTGTAATGTTTCATTAAATCTCTCATTAAACAGAACTGGTTGCAAACAGTGTTGCCTGAAAAATTAATCGGTTGAAAAAAGGGCTAAATGATACTAATAGTAGCTGAAATAAAGAGCTATTTTTTTTTTTATTAAGTGGAGCATTTATTGACGTAAAGTTGTTTTCACATTTTTCGCAATTTTAATAAACACAAAGAATTCTATAAATTTAGGTGCTGAAAAAAAAAACTTTTAAAACCAAAATAAGGTGCATATATTTTGATTTTATTGCTATGGAACTTATAACGCCTGTATGTATGCATTTACTTATATAAAATAGACAATGAACTAAAAATCAAAAATTTGAATTGACCGTAAAAACTTCGGTTTCAGGCAAAATTTTTCTGAAAAGTTTTATTTCCTTCTCTCCATAAGGTAAAATTAGTAAGGTAAAAACAAAATTCAAAAACGAAAATGTTTTTCCACTACATTTCGAAATTTGTAATCTTACACCGTCTGAGCTCATCGGAGGTCGAATTACTGCCCGGTATAGTTTGTGTACTCCAGCGCAAATTGTATAAACTAATCGACTTACTGCCCCTTTTCCATTAGCTTACGCGTCATTTGCATTAGGAATGCAACTTTTATAAGTATTAATCGAAATATAATAACAAAAAAGGTAACGAAAATAGCCTGAGACAGGGACCGGAACAACTACAGCTTTTATTCAAAAAAATCACTCTTTAACAATTATTTTTTGAATTTTATATTAATTACTCCTTAAATACGTACGATTTATTTAAAAAATAAAAGTCGCCGATCGACTTCGAAAGTTTTCAATAACTGTTATCTAAGACGTATAATATAAAAATCTAAAATAATTGTTATTATGGATTTGTAAAATAAAAATTTAAAATAAATGTTGCTTTTTTTTATTTGCATAAAAATTTCAAATTCAAATTTTTTTGAAATGCGATTCTCGGTGAAAAATGAAATCGATTGGTATGCATCAATTAGTTGTAG